TTTTGTTTTCCATGCCACGTGATCTTCTTCATGTCACACCGAATAATTTCTCCTTTATAAGATAAACACTCTATTCAATTTTCCATTTTTCTGAAAAGCTTTTCATAGTAACATAGACTTTGAAATTAGAGTTTTGAGTCTTTGACACGTTCATTTTTGTCCTCTAGTTTTCAAAAACGTAATATGTACACTAGTTACGTACAAGTTAAGTTTTGTTTAGTTTTTACAAGAGTAGTAAGATATGTCTTGTATAACTATTATTTTTTAGTGAAAAAAATAAGAGTTTTTATTGTGTCCCATTCCTTCAAGTTTGTTAATTCCTCCATTCAAGTTAGGATTTAGTTTGACTCGTTATTCTAATTTACCCAACTCATTCCTCTCTTTAAATCATACTTTAAAAAAAAAAATATACAAGCGATAGTCTAAATTATAAAAGAGGGAAATTTCTCACATATAGATACAACTATGATGCCGTGAGGATTCAAACTTGAGACCTCTCGTCTGCAAGTTAAAGCCATTTTCTACTGGATTAGATCCCGTTGACTTCAAATCATACTTTTAATGAACATGAAAAAAGTGAAAATTGGTGAAACCCATTCTTCCCTTCAAATCCTACTTTTAATGGACAAAAGAAAGTGAAAATTGGTGAAAATGAGGCTTCCATGGGTTAAAATGGGGTTTGAATGGAAGAACAGGTCGAGTCAATTAGGATCAACATGTTTAGGTGGGTTTTACGTATTTAATGATTTCTTGAGTGTAAGTAGGAAAGTCGGGATTGAAAATTATTCCCTTTCTTTTTCTTCCCATTACTGGTAAGTAAACATGCCAACAATGAGTCAAGTCAAATCAAATCCTAACTTGAACGAACAAAATGTCTTTGAATTTTACTGAGGAATTAACAAACTTGTCGAAAGGGGCATATTGACACAGATTGGAAGATTAGAGGAGTTCAAACCTAAATTCAAATTTCATAGCGTAAAGTGAAACAAGGTCTATAAAAAAAATTCAGAAATATAATAAAAAATTTATTTCTTATCAAAAGTAAATAGTTTTAATCGTAAAATATATTTTTCCGAAAGCAGAAAATGCAAAGTAGAAAACAAGGCTCGCAGATGGCGCTGAAACTTTAGAATTCCAACATGCAAATGCCAAAGTTTTTCCTATTAATAAAAAAAAAAAAAAAACGGCCAAAGTTTAAAGCTTCCTCCTTGAAAAGCGTACCATCACCGCGTCTTTGATTTTCTTTCTTTCTTTCTTTCTATTTTATTTTTATTTTTATCTTTTTTATGGTCAAGCATCCTAGTTCATATTTTACTCTTCCTTCTTTCTTTTTTCCTTATTCCAGCTTTGTTTGTTTTATTTTTATTTTTAATAGACCGCGGCCTTTGCCTCTTTTGGTCAGATTTGGGAGTTTGAAGTGGTCTTATCAAACTTATTATTGGTTTGGGATTCTTATGGTTTGTTTGGATTGGAATCCTTACAATTAAATAACATTTCGTAACACTAAGTCCTCATTCTTTATTATTTTTTTATTCAACAAAGATTTTATTTTTACGCATATAATTAAGAACACCTACAATCATGCTCTCTATTTTTTAGTTAAAATTTAGCTAAAATTATATAAAAGCTATTTTAGGAGCTCTCTATAAAATTTAACTCCAATCATACTCTCTAGTTTAGGGAGTTATAAATGCTATAGCTATTTTTTAATTGGTTCATCTATAAAATAATAATAATAATAATAATAATAATAATAATAATAATAATAATAATAATAATTAGCATTAACTAAAGGTTTAAAATAATTATAAATAAAGCAGCATTAAATTATAAGGAGCTACTATGAGTCCTTTCTCTGTCTTCAAATTTAGGAGCTCCTAGAAGTCTCCCTATTTTAAGAGGTGGATATGAAGCATGGTTCGAGTTGTATTTTTTCCATTCTTCTTTAAAATTTGTATAATGAGGTGATTTAGGGAGCCCATTATGAATGCTCTAAGAGCATCCACAATCATGTTCTCTATTTTTCAGTTAAAATTTAGCTAAAAACATATAAAAGTTATTTTAGGAGCTTCTTATAAAATTTAAACTCCAATTAGACTCTCTAGATTATGGAGTCATAAATGTTATAACTCTTTTTTAATTGGTCAATCTCTATTAAAAATATTATAAAAATAGTTAAAATTAATTAAAGGTTTGAAATACTCATTAAATAAAGCAACATTAAATTATAGGGAGCTACTACGAGTTCTTTCTATATCCTCATATTTATAAGCTTCTAGAGGTCTCCTTATTTTAGGAGGTGGATATAGAGCATGGTTGGAGTTGTATTTTTCTAATTTCTCCCTAAAATTTGTCTAAGGAGGTGGTTTAAAAAGTCTATTGTAGATGCTCTAAGAAAAGTGACATTCCTTTCTTAACCCAATAATATGCTCTCTCTATCTCTCTCTCTCTCTCTTTGGGTTCAAAACCCTTTCAACATCATAAAATGAATTTCTAACAAATAAACTACCTAATGAGAAAATTATGTAATTAAATTTGAACTCTAATGGAATATAAAGTAATAATACTTTACAGTCCCGTTCTTTTGGACCACAGAAGTCCAAGAGACTTGTGGTCACCCACCCTTGAATTTAATCCAAAGGTTTATAAAAACTTACTTTAAAAAATCTATTTTCTTTTACTTTTTAAATTTAACTTTACAAAAAAAGTTAAAAACTAAAAACCAAAAATATCTCAACGTCTTCTTCCTCCCATTGTTGTTGCCACAAGACCTCCAACTTCCATATACCCAAAAGTTGTGAACGTATTCTTCTTCCTTCCATCGTTGCCTTTCAATTCTCTGGTTCAGAGAAGGTCCAAGTCAAGTTTTCACTCCTAGTGAATCATTCTATAGTTTCTGATTGACTTGTGTTCCTCTGTTGATATGTTTTAATTTTTTCCCAACCATAGCAAAGCATGTAATTGGTTGGTTTGAATGGGTTGAATTCCTATAGGTAGATAATATGATAAACACATGCCAATAATTGGTTGAATTTGGTTAATTCGAAGCTCCTTTACAAGAGAGAAATCTTCATTGAAGTCAAAGTGGTATGTTGTTGAGAAGTTGATTATTTTACAAGTATGCTATTGGTTGTGTTGTGTTCATATGTATGTAATTGAGAACTGAATATTATAAATGAATTTTGGGAGGACGGGCATAGTGGGTACGCCGGAGTCAGAGTCAGAGGAAGGCAGTGATAGGAGGATGCAAAATTTTTTCACAACCTATATGTATATGTAGGGACATATGTTTATTTGGG